AAGGAGGGTTGCTGGAAATGGGAGACAGGGAAGATGTTCAGGGAGAGACTCAAAGGTGGAGGGAAGTAAGTAAAGGGAATTAAGGCAGGCAGGTGAAAGCTTTGTCCGGAGAGCTGTGCTGGGAAGGGGGATGTCCTGGGGGGGATCATGCAGGTAGTGGGTCCCCGAGGAGTCCCAGCCTGCTCCTTTCTGCCCCTCTGTCTTTGCCTCTTGGAAATGGTTTTAGGTGAAAGAATAAGAAATACAGATGAAACAGCAATGATTTGATACTAATATAAAATGAAGCTTCCTTGCTGGGAAGTCAAGACAAGGCCAAACTGAACTCCAGCTCTTGCCTTTAGCACATTCATTCTGCAGTCTTGTGAATAACTACATCTCTCGGTTTCTCTGTCCATAAACTTGGGTTAATGGTATTATTAAGTTTTTTTTTAGGAAAGAGAGAAAAGAGAGCAAGGAGAGGGTGAGTTTGGGTACTAAAGAAGCTTCATAGATGTCCCATTTACTGTGCCCAATTTGCTGGCTGTGTGGTTTTCACAGTACACTTAAATAATGAGAACGGTAATAAAATGGGAAGTACCGTTTTGGAGCATCAGGTCTGTTGGAAATAAGAAAACAATGGAAAAACCCGGCTTTTGCTTACTGCACTCAAGATGTGTGCTGTGTGATGAGGTCTGACAATTACCCGGTCACTCAGCTCTTACCTCCGTCGTTGCTAGAGCTTGCAATAATCTGATTGGGATATGGTTCAACTGCTGCTTTTTCATTCCTTGCTCTCAGTACATTCCCTTTTCCTACAGCACTATGATTATTTTCAGAATTATGCTGAAGAGCCACAGGCCCCATTCATAACCACTTTCCATTAGTTACTGATCACACGAGTACAGAAGTTCTCCCTTTTGCTGATCTAAATGGTCTCATGTCTCTCTTTTTCTTCAGGAGATGGTTAAAAAAGTTCCTTTCCATCACAGGTGTGCTCTTTCCTTGCTATCAGGATGCCAAACAGACTTCCTACAATGTTGCCTTACTTGCCTCTGTAATTAATTATTTTTCCCCCTTCTGTTAGCTAATAAAATTTCAGGATGTGTCTTTTTGCTACCTAACAATATCTGAGGGATACAAGAAGATGACAGGGAAACTTTCAGTGGTTAAATTTCTGCTAATCGCGAATGTAATGCATAAGTATTACTTGTTTTCCATTTTACCTGTGCATTTCTCTAGATTTTAAGTTATTACCACATAATTACTATTATGCTCATAATCACTCAGAGTTCTTGCATAATCCCAGCCTGTGATGCTCAATGTGGTGCTGGGACATCCCCTCTTCTGAGCTCGATCCCTGCAACTGCTGGGCTTCACCCTGCAGATGCAGATTCCCAGCACCACTCACTGGCAGACTTTCAAAACAATAGAGTAAATGAAATTCCCAAAGGTCAACATAGGAGAGTTGAGGTTAGAAATGGTGCCGCTGCAGCAATGTGGTTGGAAAGTGAAGCGCTTAAAACAAAAAAAAAAAAAAAAAAGGGGGGGGGGGGGGGGGGGGGGATTTGGGAAAAAAAAAGAATCATTTAGACTGAAGAGAGGTTCATTTACACTGAAGCTACTGCCCCTAAAACTTCCCAAGGTTAGGTTGGATGGGGCTTTGAGCAACCTGATCTGGTGAAAGACATCCCTGCCCATGGCAGTGGTGTTGGATGAGATGATCTCTAAGGTTCCTTCTGACCCAAACCATTCTGTGATGCTGTTAATCCATGCTGTCTGCGTGGTCTCTCACCATCATCACATTTACTAAGGCTTCTGTCAGACCTGTCCTAAAATGTACCTGTGTTATTATGCGCCTGGAGTCCCCAGCTCTCTGACAGCAGTAAGGAGCTAATGGCAGCACATTCACTGAGCAGCACCCTTCCCAGCACCTTACAGACCGGGCAGAAGTAATGCATGGATATAATGAAAACGCTTGTCACTGTATGAGCAGACTAACTTAAGAAAGTGGAGGCCACCTAATTCAAGCCGTTTCTGGCTTCCAGGTGATGGATTTTTCTACAAGCCACATAGTTTTAAAAAAACCAACTTGTTGCACAAGTGCAAAAGAAAAGTAATGTGTGGTGTGGTGTTTTTGTTTTTTTTTTTTTTGGGGGGGGTGGGGTGTGTTAACTAGATTTCTTCTGATTAGAACATTTCAAGAGACTTAGGTTAAAACACATGGTGAAAGATGTCAGTCAAAACCTGAGCACCAGGGACCACTGGTCCCTGGGGACCCTGCCCAGGACAGGCTGTCCTGAGCCATCCCCTCACTGCAGGGCTTCGCCGTGGTGGGGACGCAAGGCTGTGCAGGAGAAAACTCGGTGTCACCAACCTATTTTCATCCGTGTGCAACGAAACCCCACCGCCAAGGCCATCCCTAATGGCCACTGCATACAATGTCCTGATTGTGCCTCAACGCTTGGACTCTCCTAGAAATGCAGTCACTGCCATGGTACTAATTAAAAACAAAGCCTGCTTGCCGTGCCCAGTTTGTGAACCCGTTCCGGCAGCCGCACTGAAGAAATCGTTGTGGGGACCAGGGTTGCTTTAAGCTAAAGGAAAGGGGCCACCGGATCGGTTTTCCCTGATGAAACCTGGTGTCTGAAGGTTTGGGATCACACCACAATCTGCTTGCACAAACCTAGCCGGTCTGACGATGCCGGCAAAGGCCGTGCCAGCCTTTTGCAAGCCCATTTGTTTACTGTGGGTGAGCTTCAGCTTCATTATCAGTGCGATGACAGCCGCCAGGGCCGCTGCTATTGTTCTGTCTGAATTGCAGAGACTTTAAAGAGCCCCAGTCCTGGCCCCTAATCCCACCGTGTCTGGGGCAGTACAAATACGCAAAAACCCAGGTGGGTCTTGTTCTTCCTCAACACCCCGCTGAGCACCCTGGGAGCGCTGCTAGTTAAGCAAAGTAGGTCAGCGTGCCAGCCACACAGATGTACGTGCACATCAGACAGGAGAGACACAAACGGGAACGTTAACCTGCCAAGTGGCTGTTAAAAACTGTGCACAAGGGCAACTAAAATATTAGCATCCTTTCATGTAAGCAGAGCAGACAGAAGTGGCAATTAGTTTCAGTTACAACTTTGGAGTCCTGGAGGAGCACCCTCAGAGGCATTTTCTTTTTGGCCACCTGCTGCTTGCATCCATCGATCTGACAATCCATGCCAGGGGGGATGGACGTGACTGCACAGGCATCCACTGCCACGCACGCAGGAGTACGATACACAGCACCACGTGTGACAGGACACGAGCACGCTCACTGTCAGGCTGCCTTTGCCCGCGGAGGACCCAAGGTCACTCCTCTTCAGCAACGCACCAGACAACTTTATTGTAAGGGAAGTTGCCAAGCGCTTGCCACCGCCCACTGCGAACCTCTCTTGACACTTAAATGTTGTGCTGATGATTAATACAATAATTCCATACAGATGAGTCACAGGGACGGTTTCATTCATTCAGGTTGTTGATTGCAAACAAAATAAAGGCACCCCCAAATCCCCCTTCCTAGGCTTTATCCAACACCCTGGCACAGGAAACAGCAGTCTAGCACCGGGGAAAGCAGCAGCAGTAGTTCACCAAGTTTATTTTAATCTGGTTAGTGTTTGTTAAGCCACTTACTGCAAAACCCATTAAAACCTTAATCGCAGCTCTGAAGACACTGAGCTCTTGTGTACCAAAGAGAGCTTGCGGGGGCTGAGTTTGGGTTTTAAATGGAATAAAATAAAATTAAAAAAGAAAAGAGACGAGAAAAAGGTTACCAAAATGTTTAGCCTTTGTTTTATTGAGTTACAACAAATGAGCAACAAGTTAGAAAAGTTGGATTTATTCAAACTCCCTAGCATCGTATTTGTGCAGCGTACTGAAAGGTGGGTAAGTTTTCCAAACCCAGCTCATCAGAGGAACGCACCGGACGGCTCTCACACCTGCTCACCTACGCACCCACACTCCCGCTCTCCCTCCTCCTCCTCACACTTGCACAGACAGACACCCCCTCCCAAATCCAAATTAGCAGTATTTGAAAAAAAAGTGCACTCAGGAACCTAGGATTGATCTAAAAATTTAGTGGCAAGAGTTAATCAGAAATTTCTGTTGTGCGCTACAACATCTAAAGCTGGAGGGCAAACCGCTGGTCACGGTGTCTTGTCGTTTTACCCGCTGAAGAAACACAAGTTTATGAAGCATCCTAATTTCCTCACTCCAACCCCTCTGAGGGTTTTACAGCATGTTTGAACAAAAAGTGCTAACCCTCCCACTTGAAAAGGCATTCTAGACACATCTTCAGAGAGCCACAGCTGGGGCTGGCTTGTGAAAAGTGAAGTATAGGAGCTGGAGAAGACTCGCCTTGAAGGAGCACAGAAAAACAAGAGATTTAAATACTTCAACCAGTAGCAGGTGGCCATAAAACAGAACAAAAATGTCAAAACAACAAGAAAAAAAACCAAACCCCAACCACTCCAGAACAACCCTCCCCAACCCCATAACGTGTTTAAGTGGGCTGAAATGTAAACCGGGGTGGGGATCTGGGCTCAGATGTTGATCTGCACCAACAAGACTCCAAAAGATTGCAAATCTGTCTTAAAATGCTTTAGAAAAAAAAATCTCCTTTCTCTCCCCCACAAAAGACACTTCCCTCCCCCAAACCAACCCCCAAATTTTGCAATGGCATTATATGCAATAACTTGCACCTATTAAAAAGTTAACAAAATTTCCACATTGTACAAATCTGTTCCTGTAGAGGAAGAGGCTGGGCAGGAAAGTGGGTGGGAGAAAAGCTAAGGAGAAACCTATGTACAAGGACCCTTTTCTCTTTCTTCCTTTCTTTCTTTTCTTAACACAGTAGTAGGACTTTGGCACTATAAATGATCCCATGATGATGCTCCACGAGAATGTTTCTCACTGTGCCTCTGCAAGCGCAGTTTGAGACTTGGAGTCACAACACGCTATCTCACCCCAGGCAGGAAAACAGAGTTTTCTTCTATTTTCAGACAGCATTTCCCCTTCAACATCAGCACAGTGCAGCTGAGGAGTACCCCTGCAAAAAATTATAAAAGCATATTATTTTTGAAGGCACTATGAACAACTAGTGGTGCTGTCAACTAACACAGTGTCCAGTTTACATCTCTGCACACACAGTAGCACTGTATTTTGTAATAGTTTTAAGCTGAAAGAGGGTAGATTTAGGTTAGACATTTGGCAAAAACTTTCACTGTGAGGGTGGTGAGACACCGGAACAGGTTGCCCAGAGACGCTGTGGATGCCCCATCCCTGGAGGGGTTCAAGGCCAGGCTGGATGAGGGTTTGAGCAACCTGGGCTAGTGGGAGGTGTCCCTGCCCATGGCAGGGGGGTTGGAACTGGATAGTCTTTAAGGTCCTTTCCAACCCAAACCATTCTGTGATTCTATGATTAACTGTACCCTGAAGCCTATCTCTATCAGAGCATGATGCTGTGGTAGGGGGCTAATATTTTTGTTGCCTATAATGTCTAACGGGGACATAGAGCCTTGACTCTGCTGATCCCTCACTACTACACACCTCGGGCACATCCTCACACAGGCTCAAAGATGATGTGCACAGGGGTTGGGGGCTGCTACTTTGCAACCACAGGATGGATGGTGCTAAAGGCAAGAAGACTTCAGGTCTTTCTTCCTTGATAATTCCTCTCATTAAATACTTTTTTTTTGGATGATTTTTGAAAATACACAAACTGCAAGACAAGGGAAAAAATCAGGTGTGCCTGTGCTGTACAGTGCAGCTCCCTGGCACTGCTGTAACTCCTGCACCTAGATAAAGGCTGTGCCATGCACAACAGATTAAAAAAAATAACCCCCAAAAATCCAACCTTCAAATACTCACCTGCCTACACATACCCCCAGTTCCCAGCAGAGAGCAAGGGCTCTATAACAAGGATTATTTTCCCCACTGAGGTGCAAACATGCAAGAAGTGCAAGCACCCACTTAGGCTGGAGCTGCATGCAGCAGCACGAGGTGGCTTTTGTGCACCGTTCTCCTCATCCATCCTGCAGCAGTGCTTACCAAAACCTGAGCTAACCTGTTATTTCATACCTTTTATGAATGTTGCCACCAGGTCTGTTATTTCCCACAAAAGCAGTGAGCTCTGTCTGGCATCCATGACTCAGAAATCAATGTGGTTGAGCCTCACCAAAGGGCAGGGGCTTGCACCAACACCAAAGGCAAAAATCCTCCCTGTCCTTGCAACCTTTCCTCAAACAACATGCTTCTCAGCATGCTGGCCTGGGGCCTTGACAGAAGCCCAAAGTCTTTCTCTCTTTAGTCTTCCTTTGTTCCTCTTGTAAGTCTCAACACAAAAACATGAAACATGAGTGCCTGTTCCCCGGTGCCTGCATGGAAGAAGTATCATAGACATGGTGACAGGAAAGCTGGGAACTTCGTGCCCCACACTGATGTTTCCATGTTTTCCACCCCATGGAAAAATCCTAGTTGCCAGCTCTTTTTTCCTTTGAGATAAGCTTTTACTCTCTTTGTGAAGCCTGGCTATCTTACATAATTTTTAACTAATACTGTGATGTTAAATTAACAAGGCATTATCTTTGGTGACATCCAGGGTATGAGTCAAAAGTGAAGACGGTGTAACACCTGATGGAGACCTTGTTTCTGCCTATGACATCCAGGGTATGAGTCAAAAGTGAAGATGGTGTAAGACCTGATGGAGACCTTGTTTGTGCCCACTGTCACATAGAAGTCTGATTCTTCCTAACATCGTAGCCCTAGGTACCTTAGAGGGGTCGTCCTAACATCGTAGCCCTAGGTACCTTAGACAGGTCATGTCTCTGTCCTGGCTGCACCCAAGAGGTGGACTGAAGAGCTGACAAATGACTTACCCAAGAGGTGGACTGAAGAGCTGACAAAGGACTTCTCCTCCTCCCGGCTCTCACACAGCTGCAGTCATTATGTGAAGTGTTCACTGATGAACCCTACATCAGGCAGAAACGTGCTCCTCTGATATTTGCAGTGTTGTTTTTTCTCAGTTTGATGTACACAGTTTAAAGTGAACATTTTTCGGTGGTCAATTTCCATACTCCTGTAGTTGGCTGAATTTGTCTGTGGCTTCTGTAAAACCTGAGCTCTTCCAGACCGTCTCAGTCGCTCTCTGCTCCACTGTGAACCTTTAGGAGTTTCTGAAACTGTTAGGGAGTATTTCAAGGTACTTCAACGCTCTGAAATACCATCCCCAGACTAAGAAAAGTCTCTGTTACTAAGTCCGCACCTGAAGCTTTAGCTCCATTTCCATCAATAGAGATATTCTTGCCTTCCAACAGCACAGGTCAAAATTAGGTCTGTTGTCCCCATTTGCGAGAGCCTGACAAACAGAAACTGGTCCTAAATTAAATACAGCAAATTGCAGCTCAGACACGAGAGCGGGACCAGAGCATGCCAGAGCGGTTGGCAGCTGCTGCTGGATTTCTTCACAGTGTTGTCTCCCGGTGGGGTTTTCCCAGGATCAGTATTTTCTTGGCCCAGAACTTTTGTTTTTTCTCAGAAGCATACTCCCCCACAACTTCTCCATCCTAAACTTTATTTTTTAGAGATGTCTCATGGCCTCCACTTTAAGCCCAAACTCTGGAAAGTGTAGGCACCAAAGTTTACGGCAAGCGGTGGGAGGGAGGTAGGTGGATGCCCCAGAAGATGTGCACCCTGACTCTTGATGGCCGTGACCACTGCTCTGTGGAGATGTGCCACAGGAAAACCATGTCTGGGAGCTGCACACCAGAGAAGGAAAACAAACAAATCACAAATGTCCCTAAGAAGTCGCCCCTTGCTTCTGCTGCATGTGATGTACTGGGCATCAGAGGTGGTCTGCATCCTCTCGGTGTCTCCAGCCCCTTTTGCACTGCTGTGGGAGCTGAGATCACTTGGTTGCTGGTGGTCCAGCACATTCCTTGGTGTCCGAAGCTGGTAAAAGTTAACAGCACTGGGGTTTCCCTCCCTTTCTGGCCGAGTTCTCCTTTTTCTTGTGGTCTAGGGTTTTATCCATAAAGCTGGCTCTAGTGCCCGCTGCTGTTGTCGAGCTCCATAGGCACCATCCTGAAGTCAGCATGGGATTGACTCGGGTCACCCTAAAACATTTCAGAGTGTGAGGGAGAAGTATGGAGGACTTGCCATTTCCCATGAAACCAGTGAGGCGTGGCAGAGGCCCAAGCTGTAAAGCAACGAAGGACTTCAGAGAGGGAAGCAAAACCCAATGCAGCAATTAAAATTTTCCAATGAGTTAGGAGGAGTAGGTCCCATCAGTGCAGGGTACAAAGCTCCCAGCTTTCCTGTCACTGTGCCTGTGACAATGCCTCCCATGCAGACACAGGGGAACAGGCACTGGTGTTTCTGTGCTGAGTCTTACAAGGAGAACAAAGGAGAACAAAAGAGAGAAAGACTTTGGGCTTTTGTCAAGGCCCCAGGCCAGCATGCTGAGAGACAGGCAAAGAGCAGAGGACAAAATGGTCCTCTGATCTTACTGCATGGTCTTCACAGCAGAAACCCTGCTCCAGTGCATCGCTTCTCAGTAGGTATATTTTACAACCAGCCACCAGAAATCTCCTCATCAGAAGGATAACCCAGCAAAAGTTTAACTGAGATCAAAGTTCTTATTAAAATTCCTCTCTGATAACACCTGAGCACCTCCACAGCCCTGGAGCTTTACGGCCAGCACCTGAGCCAGGACATGAAGGCAGGAGGTTCAGCCCAATGAATCCTACACGGCTTGCAAGCACAAAAATGCAGGCACCAAATGTCAGCTACCAGAAGAGGGTGGCTGCAGAGCTTGGTTTCATGGTACAAGAGGTTTGTAAGAAAGTAGTTTCAGGCAACTCCCTCTCTTCTGCCCTCTCCACCCATTCTTTCTCCTGGGCCTTGGTCTGCTGCTCTCCTCAGGTACATCAGTACAAACCTTTATAGGTGGGAGGGAGAAATGATCTGAAATAACAACCCTGAAAAAAACCCTGCAACTTCCCACAACACATTTATTCATCGTTCATTTGATTTTAAATGGCAGATCAGATCCTGGCTCTCCTTTCCTACACGGTTGCACAGCAGTGGCACCCCAGCATGCCTCCGGCTGATGTTCCCATGTCCTTCCTCCTTTAATCTCTGCCTTTGACACACAGATAACACAACCTGCTCCTCACACCCCTAATTACCAACTTCTGCAAGCACAACGCAGGACAGTGCCTTGTACGGCAGTCTGGAGCTTTAAGATACTTTGCAATACAGACGCTCTGATGACATTTCTCAAAATCAGCAGACAATTCATAGTTCAAAATAAAACCACTGCAGGGTTTCTTTTTTCAACTCAGAGAAAATGTCCAGGAGACTTTTGGACAAGTATCGCACAAGGAGAAAGTGGAAGGCTCTAGGCTAGGCAGAAGGGCTGGCTAAGAGAAATTGCACCTCTGCAACAGACAATACAAGTACTGCCAGCCGCAATAGCAAAAAGTCTTCAGTACAAGTATGGAGGGACTTCTATGAGTCCTGGCTTTTTTTTTTTAATTTTTAGTATATTTTTAAAGAAATGCTGAAGTATATTATATTAGACACCAGAAAACTACTAACTCTTTCTAAAAGGTGTTATCTCTCAGTGGTTATTAATGCAGGGTGCTGTGCTTTCTATAGAAGGTCTAGCTTAAGGAGACTCCAGGCTGGGAGAGACAGACTTGGTTATGCAGAGCACAAAATGTTACAGGCTCTGGTGAAATCAATTCAGCACGCAAGTCAAGAAATGCTGACAGTGCCTGCTCCAGACTTACACCTGTGTACCTGTGATCAGAAACGGGCTTCAAGCCTCCAAATAACACATCCTTCACACATCCTGTGAAAGATCATATAAACCCCCCTTAAAGAAAGGCCCTGCAGCTTGCTTTCAAATTCAGGATCCTGTGAAGAAGAGCTTATAAAAACCACCCACCCAGCTTAGTCTGGAGCATTTCCTAAGCCTCCACAGTGAGCAAGCAGAACAAAGCAAGGCTGGAGACAGTTCTCACCTGCAAGAGGAAGAGGGCACATTTGCAGGAGCCACTTCGGTCCCCACAACATTTTTTTTTGCTTGCTGTTGCATAAAGAAGCAACTCTGTCCTAGGCCTTTCCCAACCCCCCCTGCCCCGTGACCATTTTTTTCTGAGCAGGGCAGGATGCTGCAAAGGAAGGACCCGAGGTGCAAAACCAGGCACAGCTACTCATGGGAGATCAATGATCTGTTAGCAAGGGAGATATCAGCAACTAGTGTTACCTACTATTTCTCCGCCTGGCTCAGCTAGTACATTTTACATCAAGCACTTCAGAGGTTACATAGGTTGTTTAAAGGCAGAAAGTTCACGGTTTAATCACTTATTGCAAAAGAAAAAAAAAAAGGTCTCTCTTATCCTGGACTTAACCCACAAGAGATAAGAAACAAGGCAAATGGCACTAACCCCTTCCCTACCACACAGTTGCTTTAATTTAGAAGCAGGATGGGTTTCCCTTTTGTTCACGCATCAAGCAGGCACAAGGATCCAGCATGGATTGGCTCTAAGGATTTATATTGAAGACGGCCTATGGGATGCTGGAAGCACACCCAGACAGAGAGAAACAGGGCACCATCATCATTACCTCTTTATACGTGGGAATTGTCTCCAGATATACTTTCAGAGTCAAAGTCCGCCAGCTCCGCCTGGCCTTCGGGTGCTGTTTGGCTCCAGCTGTCTGTACAGTCTGACGCAGCATCATCCTCACCCACTGTCACCTCCACCCAGTTGACCTCTGCTGGCTCCTCGTTCTCCTCACTGCCATGGCCATCGTGGCTGTTGCACTCCAACCTGTCCGCACCCTCTGCTTGATTCCCCAACAAAGAGTCTTTCAGTGGTTCACAGTCTCTTTTTGCTCTCGCCACAACCTTCCCTCCGTTCTCTTCATTCAGTTTTTTATGCTCCTGGTAATGCTGCCGAGACACCTCGTTACCGTTCTTTGGACTCTCAATGTGCTTTGATCCCTTTTTCTGGCTTTGCTCATGACTGTCAACAACATACTGCTGCTGGTACTGGTCAATCCATTTAAGCGACCCTGTTCTCAGCGAAGACCGGTTTTCCTTGAACCAGCGAACTATTTCAGTTCTTGTGAGCCCAGTCTGAGATGCTAACTGGTCATACTCCTGGGGTGATGGCCACTGGGTCCTTGCAAATGTGCTTTTCAGTAGATGAATCTGCTCTTGGGTTTTCTTAAATGTGGTGGAGGACCCAGATAAAGCACCAGGGAGCTGGGAGCTACTCAGCAGTTCTGCCTGGCTTATTGCACCATTGGGAGTTCCTTGTTCTTTAATTTTTCTGTATGATCCCATTGAGTCCAAGACAGCTTGCTCCATGCTGTCTCTTATCTTTCTCCTCTCAGAGAACCATGAATCTATCTCCCTCCTACTCAGCTTAGTCTCCACTCGAAGCCTGTCCAATTCTCCTTGGGTAGGAAAAGAGCATCTTAGGAAACTCTCCTCAAGGGCTCTAAGCTGCTCTTGGGTTTTCTCTTTGAATCTCTGGGGAGTAAAATCTGTGTATGGGTGAAAAGAACGGCCGTGTCGACCAGCTGAAGGTCCTAAAACCTCGCCAGGGATGTGCACAATGCCCCTTTGACTTCTGTATCTGTGGTCGCTGAACCACTTCTTGATCTCACTCCTGGAGAGACCCGTCGCCTCTATCAGCCGGTAGACTTCTGCATCATTGGGAAACTGGCTTGCCATGAAACTGGCCTTCAGCTCTGCTATCTGCTCCTTCGTCTTTTTTCGCTCACTGGCTGGAGTCAGTGGTACAGCAGACAACTTGGCAGGAACCTCAGGCACCTGAACTACGTGAGGACGCTTGGCCTCCGGGGCACTTGGTAAGGTCTGTATCGTCCTCTTTTGCCCCTGGTTTGGAGCAACAGCAAGTGTAATTGGTGAACAGGAAACAGTTGAACCATTTGACACAGGAGTCAAAACCAGACCGGTCTGGCCCAGTATCTGACAAGGCAAAGCTGTTTGGATGATGGGCTGGGGCATTTTTGCAGTTGTCAAAGGAGCTGGCAGGACAGTGATGGTTTGGGGAACTGCCTGGATAGTACCATTGAACATCTTCTTTCTTGCCTCCTCCACTTCTTCAGGAGACCAACTTATACCATGCTTCAAACGTTGTGTAGCAAACCAGATTCGGATTTGTTCTTCCGGATGTTTTGATGCTGCTGTCAACCACGACAACTCTGCTTGTGTTGGGTAAGGAAATTTATTAAAGGAGTTGATCATGGTTGCATTAGTGTCCAGTGCAGAGTTGTATTTGGTACTGTTCAGAGGTACTGGGACCTTGGGGACAAGGTTAATATTTGGTGGCAGCTGTACAGAGGGCATAACATGGGCTAACACATCATTGAGAAGGTCTCCATTTATACAAGCAATAGCTTCAGTGGCTTCAGTTATAATGCGGGGGAGAGTGCCATCCACGTGGTTTTCCGTAACTCCTTCTTCTGGCTTTTTGGGACCCTTCTTGGTTTCCCCTTTAGGTTTTCCCAGTTTCGTCACCGGCGTTTTACTTGCACTAGTTCCCCCATGAGGTGAATCATCATACTCTGCATTTTCTAGCCCACTGCTTGTGACAGTGACATTGTTAGCAGTGGTCTCAATGGACTGCTCTAAAACAGTCTGATTATTGCGTTTTATTAATTTCAGTTTAAAGTTAGTCTCTCCTGGGTGGTATTTTGTGTTGTGGTCAGATAAAGAATCATATTTTTTGGTTGTGAAGTTGCATTCAGCACAGACATACAGAGGGTTGAGAATGACATTTGGATGCTGAGTGTCAACATGCTCTGTAAATTCATTTAAGTTTTGTGTTGAGTAAGGGCAGTATTTACACTCATAACCACCCTGGGGTTTCTTAGACTGATTTTCAGCTGGGGGCTTTGCCTCAACCACTTCGCAGTTTTTGACTGAGCTTTCTGAAGGCAAATTTTTTTTAGAGTCCTGCTGCGGTGTGCCAGCCCCCTTCTCTTTAGGAGCCTCTACGCCCTCAGTGCCTTCCTGCTCCATGACTTCAGATGTTCGCACCATACAAGGAGTCGTTGACTTTCTTTTGCTAGCCATGGCAGCCACTGGCAGAGGGCCGTTGTCCCAAATTATGACTTTTTTTGACAGGATGAGCAATCAACTCAACAGATCTTGCAAACAGCTCCAACTTTCCTTGATTATTTTACTCTGTTTTGTTTAATGAAGAACTTCCACCCTGGCTGTGACCATCAGCTCCGCCAGTAGACCTGTCAGCTACATGACACCTGTGAAACAAAGAACACGTTGTCAGGCACCGATGCATAACACACAGATTTAGCAAAAAGCCACAGCTCAAGATACATGCATTTACAAGGCCATTTGGGACAATGCTGAACTCTTCCTCTCCCCATCCCCATCAGCAACTTAAAGAGTCAAAAATCTCCCCACAAAGAATAAAAGCAGGGGGCAATTTGCAATGAAGTGTGCCACAGGAAGAAACTGGCTTTGAAGCAAATAAGATGAACAGACAGGAGACTTTACTCTCCACTAGACTCAATGTGTTTAGCTGGAAAAGAAAGAAGGTACTGCTATAAATACTGTGTAATTTTACAGAAGCTGCAGTTTCTATTATTTTTTTGAAGCTTGCAGATTTGAAATTGAGTGCAATTTATATTAAACTTAACTACTTCCCGCTGTTGCTTACCTTGTAAGTATGTCTACTAAATGACTGTGGTTACTAATGACGGCTGACTTCTAAATAAAGCTATAGGGCCCTCCTTGGTTGTAAAAGTAAAGGCAGAAAGAAGAGTTAATGCAAAACAACACTTTCAAAGGTCTGTGTCTTGAGTGGGGGTGGGTTCAAAGAAACTGCAGCAAATCTATGGAGGCCTATCCAGTCTTTTCTGGAACAGAAGTTTCCTTAAAACACCACTTTTCACTCAATATTGAGAGAGGTAGCTAACAAAGGTCACAGAAGCCCTTAGATACCTTTTAAACAGGGTCCCTTCCTGTGACACTACTGATACTCTCATCAAGCCCTGATTTCTGCACTTCCCTCCCTACAGAAATTAAAAAAAAAAAATTAATTTTAAAGCATCATTCACATGTCAAAGTGGTTTTGGAAGTTCCCAAATGCAAGAATTCCGTAAAACGTATTTGTAAAAGGATCTGAAGTCAACATCAGTAAGCACAACCACAAATTAAAACTACACCAGCTGTCTCAGGACGTACCCGCACTCACTGAGAGTGGGCGGAGGGAAGGAGGAGAATTTAGTTATCAAAACAGTTTAATTAACTGTAGAAAAAAAAAAAAAAAGTCACTCTCCCATTTCACAAGATGCCTTTCCTAATCAGTCCTTGGCTCCAATTTGCTACTTTTCCTGATCACACGGGCTCTGGATTCATAATACTTCCAGTCCTCACAGAAAACTCATCTTTTACAGTCAAGGAGTCCTTGGGATGGTGTGGGGGAAGCACCAGGGTCTACAAACTGGAGGAGGACTGAAAGTGGACATTTGTGGAGTGGGTAAGACCTGCACTGATTTTTGTAGAGCTGTATTAAATGGAGAATCTGAACTAGAGATCTAAAGAAAGATGTCCCTGCCCATGGCAGGAGGGTTGGACTAGATGGGCTTTAAAGGTCCCTTCCAACACAAACCATTCTGTGATTCTATGATCTGATGTCTAAGCAAACACAGATATTCTCATTGTGAACCCTGTAAATGATGAGCTGTCTCCAGTACCCAGCAGACATGAACATCAAATGAGATAAAATCCCACTGTGGTTACACCTGGACACATCCAACATCAGCAGACAGTTTATAACCACCTCACTGCTGTCCCTGAACCCGCTCCTCTTGCTCGTGCATGGTCACAAGAGCCAGGAACAGTCACTGCAAAAAGAGCCACTAAATTCTCAGTTTGCAGCTGATGAATACTTTGCAGGTCTCCAGAGCATATTTCTGCTACTCTGCCCGTCACACATCATACCACTCCTGCATATATGGAAACCCAAAATGACATACTGCCAGAGGAAGCAACTCCAGCTAGGGATGGCAGCTTCCACCTCTGTGTACCCAAAACCCAGGGTGAAGCAATTCTCCATACACAAAGCACTTCATACACAAATTCTCCATGAATCACCTTTGCAGATATGTGCTGAACTTGCAGCACAGAGGAGAGGCCACCCAGAGACACTATTAGTTATATTGCAGATGCCCCAGCATAAAGGCACAGTGCTCTGCATTCACAGCCAGCATCACCTCCACACCTCCCAGCCCCAACGGAAACCAGTGAAGCGTTGGAGCATCTGGCTGACTTTCAAGGGTGCATTTAAGCTGTGGGTGCTTTCCTGCAAAATGTGGCATCTTTGCTCAGCTCCATGAAACCGGGGTGGGGCTGCCTACAGGCTTACGGCTCTGTCTCAAGCATCTGGCTTGGTCAGGATGACACAGTGCCATTTCCCTCCAACCTGGGATCACCATATTGTCACTCTACAAAGCATTAGCTCCACTTAGCCACAATATAATTTTCTTTTTTCCTTCTCTCTTTTAATAGTAAGCCAGCAGATGAACAGGGGAACAAATGATGCCTAGTTTTCTACAGATTTGTGCTGACTGACCTTTAAACTGGATTACACCAAACAGTCTCTATTATTTCCACATATTCCTTCAAAATTTCCTTCTATTTCCCCTCCCAATCATCCTCCCACAGAGTATTTTGGCTGTGATCTGTGGCTTGCTGTGTCCCACTGCAGACAGGATGGGAAGTTAGAGACAAACACGCAACTGTCCAAACGCCCATCTTCCTGGACACCCATTTTTAATGAAGCTTGCAGAAAATAATTACCTTTGAAACTTCTTCTCTTGTACCCAATCTGTCTGAAATGGGCCAAAAGGTGAGAACAGGCCAGGATAGCCTGTGTAAGCCTGGCTGCTGCTGGAAATTGGGTGAAGGTGACCAGGTCACCTCACTCTGCCCTGCAGATTCCACCACTCTTAGTGACATTGACTTTCATACACGAGGGCAGGGAGGCATAAGGCAGTGCCCTGGGAATGGATGGAGGAGATGAGGATGGAGCCACGGCTCCTGGGATTCTCCTCCGCTGCTCACTCTCCTTCTCAGGACACACAGCTGCACCTAACAGTCTGCTCCTTTTCTGATGTATGACCTTCTGAAAAATTCATGTGGCAACATCAGCAAAGGAAGAAAAAAATCAAACGACATCAAAGACAGACCAAGGCTTATTTATATTTCACTGAATACCCCCTCTATACCTCCAAAAGAAGAGCTAAGAACAAAAAGATAAAAGAATGGTATGGGAGAGAGAGTGGAAAAAATGAAACATCCAGGTTACAACTTTGACTCAATCAAAGGTTTTTTTTAAACATCAGACTAAATGTTTTGAATTCCCCAGTCTCTGGAAGCTCAGCAAGCTCTCTGCTGCACTGAGTTGCCGTGCTGAGCTCCCACCTCTCATGAGGACATGAGGATCAGCCCCAAGCAAGGATGCTCTGATACACAGGAAAGGCCAAGGTCCCTTCAAGACATATGTAACCAGGTGGATGGATGAAAAAAATTTGTCTGCTACAGTTGTACTAGAAAACCGTACAGATTATTGCTTCTCTTCCATGTTCTGTTCCACAGAGTGGTTTTCTGCATGTCTAATTGCTGATTTGCTAATCTATGCTTTGAATAGTTTTTCTGCCACATGACAATCACTATCCACCACAGAAATCAAGCCCAAGTCAAATGCTTCTTTTCGGAGGTCAGTAACAAAACCACATTACTTTTAGTCCAAGATGCGCAGTTTGGGGGGCTCACAACCAGCCAGAGACTGCCTTTGCCCCTTTAACCTGCATCCTGAAAGAGGGAGAGGAAACAAGGCCCAACACCTCCATGATCAGGGAGAGTTTATTGGTACCTCCAAGCCATGGCCCCTCTGGGACCTCGGTGAGGGTGTCATTTGGGATGAAGCAATACACAGCTGCTAAAGAGGACGGACCCCCAGGCGGCACATCTCCAGGAGCCGCATCATGTACATTTGTGGGGGCTGCCACGCCTCATCTGAGGATGTCAGAGAGAGCACCAGGAGCATCTCACAGCTTTCAAACACGAGACGCTCACCAGAACATCAAAGCCCCAGTGGACAGCTTTAAATACACAGTGTTGCTCCTGACAAAGCTGCTAAATGATTCTGCTTCAGATCCTCTGATTTGGGGTTGAGTAAGCTCTCCTGGGCGGTTGCTCCGCTGGAGTTCAGTGGGCGGGGGAAAATACAAACCTGACCCCACAAACCTCTGGATTTCACCTGCAGATGGCTGTTCCTCCAGCTAGTGATGACCCCCAAAATTTGGAGTGGGGGAGGAGATACCCCTCAGCAACAGCCAAGACTTAGCAACAAGCGCACCGTGATGGCAACCCGAGCTACACTTCATCACCCAAACTGTGTCCGTGGCACATGCATCTCTTCGAGTGACAAAATTCACATCCAGTGCCTGACGAATAGGGCTGCATCAGGGACAGGACAACCTCTGTCCCTATAGCTGGCCTGATTCGCTCTTTGTGTTTCATTATGGATGGGACCCTGGACAACTGACCTCCTTCTTGGGCTGCTGTCACAGCAAGGTGGCCATAGGCATGGGGCGCAGGGCTGCTGCACATCTCCTGCTTGATTTGCCATGCTACAGGATGTTGGAAAAGAAACATACAACCACCTAATGTTTAATTTTTAAATTTTTTTAAATGAGCAAACGCACAAAGCAGCAAAAGGCAACCAGGTGGAAAACAAAGGCACTCTGCTCCGAGCAGACAGCTCCCATTGTCAGCGAGGTCCAAACCACACCACAGAGTGCCTGTATGCAGTAACAAGAGCTTTCAATTTGGTTTGCTTCAGCAAAGCCACCCAGGAGAGGAGTGCACAAGTCGGAAGCAATGCGCTCTTTTAAACCTATCTCCCCAAAAGTGTGTCACCACAGTTAGAAGTGAGGCCCTAGTCTGGTTTTGTTTAATTTCTGAAATTTGTTTAACTAATGAAATAATTCATCCACAGTCCTCTAATCTTTCAAACCCCTGTAAAAATGGCTGCAGCTCATCCTATGTGAAAACAAAGTGGGACCTAATTTGGCATCTCTGTGCACGACTGAAGAAATGCCACATCTCCTACCTGATCACCTGGCCCCAGACTGGGGAAACTGTGGAGAACCACACAGGGAAAAGAAACCGTGCTTTTACGCCTGGCTGGCACTGGAAAATGTTTGCCTCTGTAGCAATGCCACCT